GTATTATATAATCAAACTAGATGCATGGTTATGAATTACACGGGTTTTTTTTAATTGTTAAATTTATATCCCTGTAGTTTGGGAGGGGGATGCTCTATAATGATTATTTGGTTAAAGGTATAATTTCTTTGAAAATACTCTTTTCTGCTCGTGGTTATAACGCAAAGAAACTTAGTATATATTTATGATGAACGAGAGTGTTTCTTCCAGAATTATGAGATTCATGGCTCCTAAGTCAGATGGCCTGATGTGAGGATGAGACTCTACTGATAATGTAGTAAATATGCATTACTTCTGTTAAATAATCCTGTTTGCTCCTTAGTGTTGAGCAGATAATCAAAGTTTAAAGCTATGATGAACAAATGTGTTTTTTTCGACATTATAAAATTTTTAGTCCCCGATCTTTAGTATGACATGGGGCAATGAGGGGCTATTTTGATAGGGGATACATTGATAATAAAGTGAAATGTGTTAATTCTTTGAAAATCTTCAACTAAGTGCACAGTCATGATGATGAGAATACATCTTCCAAATTTATTAATTTCATGGCCTTGGGACACAGGTTTTAGTGTTTGGGTAGGGCTTTGTTGAATTTTTTAGTGAAAATGCATCATTTCATGCTTTGTACAAGAATATAATTAAAAATTTTAAATAATTTGTTTCTAGCATGTTTTAGGATAGTTTGTCGAAGACGAAAATCAGATCTGTACTGGACAATAAAAAAATGAAAAAAAAATAATGGTTAAAACACAAATAAGATCCATGTTTTCAAGGAAAAAATAAAAGATTTTCAAGATGTACTCAAAACATGCTTACAGTAAAACGTATAAATTTTATTTGCATTTTATTTTCCTAACAAAATACCTTTTGACATAGTTATCTTGCTATGTTCTGATGAACTTTGCATGCCAAATAGCACGTGTAATTTGATTAAGGTATCTAAGATAAAGAAATTGTTGATTTAAGCTAGTTCAACGTGTAATATTCCTTTTTTTTCATTTTAGCAATAAATAGAGATTGATGGATGAATTGTACATGACTTGTAAATTTGTATCTTGTTTTACGCCCTTTTCTAAATTTTTAACTCATATAGAGATGTCATCATACACAGGTGAAGGCTTCAAATTCATACCTTTACTCGGCATTAAGGGTCATTGAGCAGTGAAGGTTCTTTATCGTGCAACCGCCTAGGTGATTAATTGATTATATAACGTCTCTCTCAAGAATTTTTTGCTCATATGGAGACGCCACCATTTCTGACATATATACTCAGGACTTTACGGCCATTGAGTAGTGAGTGATCTTTTTATGTGCCAGCACCTACTGTGATCTCGACTAATTTGTCTCCATGTCCCACAATGGGATTCTAACTATCGCGCTCTTATACCCCATTCATACGACGAAAATTTGCTTATGTGTGCAAATTTACATATGAGTAAATATACACACGTAAGTAAAAGTTAATTTGCTATGCGTTCGGACGAGATTTATGTACTTTAAGTAAATCCTTATATTTTCATGTTAAATAAGGAGATCCACAGTTTCAGAATTGTGGATTTTCATATAAAAAAAATTATTATTATTCGGGTATTAGACTAACTTTTTAATGTTCCTCAAAGAAAGAAGGGGAAAATCCGATCCATTTATTTTTTGGTATGAAAAATGAAAAAAATTTAAGGGGAAAATTTACACACGAAAAAAAAAAAGGAAAATTAATTAAGATCATTGTTTAAAATTGGAAATTGCTTTGCCCTCGGTCCTTAAAATATAGAAGAGCCGTTGGGTGGTAAGAAAATTTCTAAAGATGGCTGTTGCCATCCACTGAATGGCGTCTTCAGCTGAATAAAGTTCGACTGGAAATCTTTTTGGTGTTTGGAAATCTACAGTACATCAAGTTTGTGAGGTCATTATGAAGTTTTTGCTTAAATGTTATATGTATTTCCCTGGCGAATTAAATAAGCAATCAATTTAAAAAAAATAATTTAAAAAAAAACAATTATATGAATAGGAAATAAACACGAATTCCCTAGAAATTCATGGTGGGATTCGGTGCCAAGGTTCAAGAATGCTTACTTTAAACCATATTTTATTTGAACATGACGAGCAAGAAATACAGGCAAGAAGTACAAAGATCAAACAGGATTCGGAAACAAGTTTCAAAAACTTATATTAATCCGTTTCCTTATTATTAATGATAAAGATGACAGACCCTTTTTAGGTAGTTACATAACACGGTTTTAAGCTATATTACAAAATATTTGAGATTTACATACATATTGAATATGAAATCATGTTAAATTACACAAATGGAACACGTTCTAGTTATTCGGAAAGAATCTAAAAGATGTACAATATGTATGTGAAGAAAAAAAAAACGAACAATAGAAGGTGATTGAATTAGCGTAGAAGATGATTCAAGAATAAGTACAGATGCAGTAACAAATATAAATACAGATTTGGGAAATATAACAATAAAAGATTGGGGAAATAATGAAAAAGAAAAAAAAAATGAATGACGCTTGCTACATGTAGTTGACAGGATGTACACAGGAAATAACATACCCAAGAGAGAAGGAGTAGTGAATATTTACTATGGGAAAAACTGATCACACGAATCTTTTCGTAGCTACAATAAATTTTTGGACAGATTTAAAGATCAGAACGTTATTTGCCAATGAAAGATTTTGGTCACCAAATAATAATATATTGGAGTTGATATAATACGGTAGAGAATAGATAAATCTATCTCTGAGATCTTTGAAATATGGACAGTGTAGGGGAAAATGTTCAGAAGTTTCAATCTCACAAAGGATGCTTAAAAATGCTTATTTTCTTCAGGGTTGTTGAAATTCCTGTAGCATCAATTTATATGTCAGTAGCTTGCCTTGGTATAAAAACAACGAAAGGTAGAGAAAGTCAATCTGTAATGCGGCACGGGCTATTGATGTAATGCCTATTCCTATCACAGCTCTGGAGCATTCCCATGAAGACTACTTGAATTGTAAGGGGACTACTTATTGATCATGCTGGGCACATGTGTGCTCGACCACAAGTATATATTTTTTTAATTTAGAGGCATAAACATAGGGTTGCCAGAAAGGGTACAAGATGCACACGTTTTTGCAAATTCAAATTTATATCAGAGGACACTGAAGATATAGTGTGGATCTTTGTTTTCAGAATTGAAAAAGCCATTTGTGCATGGAAAGAACTATGCTAGAACAACCCGTCGTATTCTTTAAAGACTTTAAAGCAATACTCTATCAAAACTCAAATTACTTTCAGCTGTCTTTGAAGTACAGCAAAGATCAGGGTTCTCCATCATTTGAAATGTTACTGTGTTGCAGAGTGAAGGCGAAGAACAAACATTTCGCGGTATTTTCGCGATCAAATTCGCAACTAAATCACTATTTATGAAAATTACAAAAGAATATATGCACACACTTTTTTAAAAAATCGCTAAATAGTTACACAAATGGTATGGTCGTACATATTGATAAAAGTAAAAAAATGTTCTGAAAAGCAGAGGAAATTCTGACCGATGCAGTCGTACTGCTTAAAATTTTTGAAGTAAATTTTCCGTGATTATTTATCAGTTTTCTTGATCGAGTTATCACATTACAAAAAAAGAAACTTCAGAACAGTAAAATATATTAAGAGTTCCTTGAACATGTTCAAAATTTTAAGTAATTTATTTACATCAATCAAATGACTTCGATTCGATGACGTTATGTCAGACTTACAGTGCTAAAATAATTCTAGAGCCGTGGCTCTGTGGAAAAGACATTTTTTTTTAAATAATACAATGTAATTTATTGCAACTACCAATTAAACCTTACATGGAAGTGTGAAAACAAATTATTTGTCTTTGTTTCGCCATGCGTAAAGTCCGGTGAGGGTCTAGGAGATAATTGATTATGCAAGGTGAAGCTGTAGTATTTAATATAATTGTTTAATTAAAGTCTCAGTTATAGAGAATTTTTGTGTTTAGGTTTTCTAATTATCACAGATCTTACTGTGTCGGCAAAATTTTTACTGTGTTGCATGCATAAAATTTTAATCGTTACTGTGTCGGAGAACATTTTACTGTGTCGGGAGCAACACAGTAAAACAGCTCATGGAGAACCCTGAAAGATGACCAGAAAATTCAAGTTCTTTTAAAGTTATGCTTTCTAGCCGCCATGTTAACAAACTGATATTAATATATAGAACAACAATGCATAACAACAACCGAAACAACACTTAAAATGGAGATTTATGCAATAAACAAACAAAATACATACATAAGTAAATTTGCTGCGTGTTCATACGACAAAATTTACACACATAAACTAATAATTTGCGACAACATGTATGCGAAAGTTAATTTGCACCTAGTCCTGACTAGGTGTAAATTTACTTAACTGTGCAGAATTTACATGTGAGCAAATCAGTTCATAAGACAAAAATTGCACACGTGAATAAATTTACATATGAGTAAAATATACTGAGGTATGCAAATCTTGTCGTGTGAATTGGATAAAAGTTCAACTTCTTACTCTGCGACTTTAGAGCAGACGCTCAAACCACTGAACCACGCGGGCGACAACGCCTACGTGACACGGGACCTCGGTTTAAAATGTAATCCGAAGAACCTGCAACGTTCACTTCAATGTGCCGAGTGCTTGGTGATGGAATAATTGCAACATATTTTTAACCAACTTAGGTCAGTCTCGTCCGTGTTTTCAACACACGAACTACGATCACGAAACGAGCGCAAATAAGCAAAGAGATAGGAATCGAGTTTCTCTTACTTTCAATTAGTGTGCATGCATTGAAAGATTTGAAACATTTATTTACGTACCCGCGTTATACTGTATTGACCGCTTTAAAAAAGAAAAACAAAATTGAACACAGAATTTAATGATAAATGTTTAGATTTGTTATAAATTAATAGTTTAAATACAATAGTAATCTTAGTAAATATATCACTTATAACAATTTTACGGACCACTTTTCAGGAATCTTCGATGGAATGAAATAACCACGCTTGGAGACAACGCCTTCGACGGTCTGACAAATATAGAGACACTGTAAGAATATAAAAATATAGCAATGAGAGTCAGTTTAGACAGGATATCATATTTAATTCAGGTATTGAAAAAGAAAATCTCTGAAAAATTTGAAATGAATACGCTTGAAAATCTAAATTGATATTTTACTAATATGAGAACTAATATTTTTCTTCTCTAATATTTTTAAATGTCAAAAAGTAGAACATTTAACTGAAAATCATAATTTGGACAATTTCATGTTAATGTACCTAAATAGAGAGAAGATATACATAGAATAGAGAAATATTACTCGTCTTAAAAAAAAATCAAGAAATATTTTCTATTTCGATTGACTCTAAATTATACGTAAAATCAAGGTTGTTGATCTTCTTGGAATTGAGTTTTTAAAAAATTTAAAGACTCGTCTCGTCACATCAAACCTAAGATGTAAACATTGGTAATAACTGTTTCTTTGTCAAGCGATTTGCATATCGCATAAGAAGTGAAAACCAAAAGTCTTTTGGATGAGAACTTAAAACCCCTAAAAGCCGCGGTCCCGTGCCACGAAATACAGGAAGAAACAAGATCTTTCAGTTAAAAGGCTGCTTTTGGTGACTTTTCAGTGTCCATTTAGTCACTGAATGGCAGGTACATTAAGTTGACATTTCAGATACCTTTCAGTCATAAAATTTGACACCTATTTAAACCTAAATCTATTAGATATATTGCTTATTTCTATAAAAAAAAATCATGTGATTTTATTTCAAATTCAAAGCTGAATATAGCAGACACATGTATTTTTAGACAATTCGATATTCCTTCAAAAGGTGAGTTACAATGAGATAAGAAAATATGGAAAAAACTCTCTACTTTGCCGTATACTATACGAAACACTAAACATTTATAATAACGAGGCCCATGGGCCTTATATGTCACCTGAGCATTCTTCAACAACTTTCCAGTGATTGAATTTGATCCATGTTTTAAGCCTGATGCTATAGCATTTCAAATATGATCATCATAACTATACACTTAGCAGTTCCTTAGTTTGTTTACTTAATACCCATAGGCAGGGTAGGGGAACCAAAAATGCCTGTCATCTAATCAGTAATATTCAGCAATAATCAGTAGTGCAGCTACCACACATGAACCCCTGACCCTTAGGCCTAGATCCACACATTGCACATTTTTGGAAAGGCATCCTTGCTTTTCAAAAATATTTGTTTAATACCAAGGAGCACATTTCAAACAATTCATTCATTTTCAGTGTATAAGTACATCCCCCCTCTATGGTACAACTGACCTTGAGGCCTTGAAATTTACAATTCATGAAGATTAGGTCCCTTGCTCATAACTATATAAGTAGTTCATCTGCTTAAAACCTAGGAGCAAAGAAGAAAATATTCAAAGATTTAATGTTTTTTCATTATACATGTATAATCATTACAGCCCCCCCCCCAAACAATAGAATCCCTGACCCTGGGGCCATAAAATTCACATATTGGTAAAGGCACTCTTGCTCATTATAACTATGTACTTAGTTAGTTTATATAAAAAACTAAGAGCAGAGAACAAGATTTTCAAAGAATTCATGTATTTTCACTATATAATCAATAGAGCCTCGCCCTAACACCAGAACCACTGACCCTGGGGACATAAAATTCACAATTTTGGTAGAGGCACTCTTGCTCATCATAACTATGTACTTAGTTAATTTAATACCCAGGAGCAGAGAAGATTTTTAAAGAAATAATGCATTTTCACTATATACCTATTTAGCTTCGCCCTAGCACAAGTACCCCCGATCCTGGGGCCATAGAATTCACAATTTTGGTAGAAGCAATCTTGCTCATCATAACTATGTACTTAGTTTATTTAATACTCGGGAACAGAGAAGGAGATTTTCAAAGAGTTCATGTATTTTCTCTATATAATCAATTGAGCCCCGCCCTAACACCAGAAAGCCTGACTCTGGGGACATAAAATTCACAATTTTGGTAGAGGCACTCTTGCTCATCATAACTATGTACTTAGTTAGTTTATTTAATACCTAGGAGCAGAGAAGAAGATTCTTAAAGAAATATGCATTTTCACTATATACTAATTTAGCCCCGCCCTAGCACAAGTACCCCTGACCCCAGGGCCTTGAATTTCACAATTTTGGTAAAGAACTCAATGCTGATTACAATCATGCAAACAGTTTGACTGCTTGATGTTCAGGTGTAAAGAAGAAGATTTTTAAAGATTGCATTAATTTTTGTGGTTTTGGCCCCACCCCCCAAGCCCGACGGGGGGCAGGGATCACGAAATTCACAATTTTTGTTCCTCTTCACCCATAGATGCTTTGTGGTAAATTTTGTTGAAATTGGTTCAGTGGTTGCAGAGAAGAAGCTGAAAATGTTCAAAAGTTTCTGACCGATTGACGACGAACGACGTACGACGGACGACGACGGACAAAAACAGATAGCAATAGGTCACTGAGTGACTCAGGTGACCTAAAAACTGTATTAAATTCCTTAGTATAGGTTTAAAATCATTGATAGCATCATTTACAAATACGATAATTGAATCTTCTTGAGTAAACAATATTCATTTTAAAAAAATGAAATGTGAAGGTAATGAACAGTAATCACGCTAAAAAAAACATTACAGCACAACTTATTTTTTACAAAGCAAACATGAACCTCTGAAAATATCAGAGGTGAGATCAAGTGCCATTGTTGTGCTAAAAGCACTTAAAATTTTTTTAAAACTCGATCATTGGTTCTGTAGTTATTCTACACTTGTGAGAGCGTTTTTGTAAATTTTATTACATTTTGATTACTTTTCAACATGAAATTTAGTTTTAAAAAATTACATGAATTAGTTTTAATTCTTGAAGTAGCTTTCCCTTCCCTATTCATCCCTGTGTTTCATTAAGGGGGGACCTATGTCGTTCTACGTCAAAGCAGCATTATGTGACGTCACAATAGCGACGTTTGTTTTTTCCTGTTGACGTTTGCAACTGTGATATAGACATAACATTGTTTATAATCTATAATATACACCATTTACAAAAAGAAAATGAATTCATCATTTATAACAGTTTAATTTGATTTATGGAGTTTGTTGATATTAAAATTCTATTCCTTTGATTGATAATTCAGTTGTGAAGAAATACGTCGATGATATGCTGATATAAAAGTGCAAAAAGATAAGATAAGATTCATCAAAGAAAGCGGCTTCAATATGGAAAATATGTTAAGTTTTATGTTTTCCATTCCTTGTATTTTCTGGATAAAACCAAAAAAAAAAAAATTGAGAAATATACTTGTGCCTATATTTGTTTATTGATTTATAGAACGTAGATTTCATTGTAAAAGGCCATTCCTAGGTTCTAATAGGTAAACGTTTGTTGTTGACGGGGAAATGGAAGGGGGCAGAATGATTCGAATGAATAAGAAAAGAATAAATCGGTTTAAATTGTTTCTAATTAAAAAATTTATACTCGTTTTTTTTCGCAAAATAGTTTTTTATTCAGATGTTTGTCAGAGCGTACTTACCTTTATTAGTGCAGAAAGGTCAATATTTATGACACAAGAGTACAAAATTAAAGAAAATGTCATATTTCTCGTTTATTTTATCATAAAGGTATACTTTTTTCTTTGTTAAAATAAAGAGATGAATTATTTCTGTTAAAAAATATGAATTACAACATTTTCACACAAAGACTTTTTAAGATATTACCTGTTATGCATCTCGGAATTGTATTAATTACGACAAAAAAATGGGGTAATGATAACATTGTGCTCCATTATAATTTTTCATGCGGTATGAATTATAATGAATTTGCCTTCATTTTAAAGATACAAGTCATATAAATCAAATACCTGTTGATTTTAAATGCAATGAGAGATTTTTGGATCTTTTTAGCGCATATTTGAGGTAGAACATTAATGTTTCAAAATATTCTATTTTTAGCATTTCACACTGTTTTTGCACGTGCTCCTGTATAAAAATAAACATATAAAGGTATTGTTTTTAATACTTAAAAATTAAGAGCAAATGGTCAGGAAAGAAATGTCAATGTTTTGAAAATTTCACACAAAGACTTTTGGGACATAGCCCCCCTCCCCCCCCCCTCTTAAAGTGAATGAAATTGTTGTATGATGATTAAGTTTCAATTTCTATAAGGTTGATAATTTTTATGTGAAAATTTCGAACAATGACCAATGTCATTAGTTAATGTTCGTAAACAAAACAAATCATGCGAAGGGCATAAAACTCTAAATGCTGAATTGACAGACATACATATGACAATCAGATGATAAATCTTAATAGTCAATACACCAGCCATATTTACACGTACCAGTACTAATTGATATATTAATTCTAAATTTCATGTGCCTATCAAAAATATACTTAATGGAAAAAGAAACGCAGGGTAGAATAATATTCAATCTTTTTTTCACCGTATTACCGAAATTTACGAGAATTGGTCAGATGAGAATGTTAGTTACTATGCACCTAAGTCAGTGTTTAAATTTACTCAAGTGACGTGTTTCTTAACAAATCTTATTGCACCATTTGATGCAACTGACGTATATACATTGTTTTTTTTCAATATTTTCAGACAATATGAATTTCTTGCAATTCAATGATAAATTGTATTTGCTGACAAGGTCATTGTACCGACCATAGAATTTACGAAATGATGACTTTAAACGAGACTGTTGATATTCTTGTTTCATCAACTTGCTTGTCAATAATTTACCTCGTTTAAGAAATTGTTCATACGTAGAGCATGCTCTTGCGTATCGAATCAACTGAGATATATATACTCCGTATGCAGGTGATGAAGGTATTGCTGCATAAGTAAGGGAAGTTGACGATAGAAAAGTTAAAGTCATCACATTTATCATATAGCTTGGTTGTTAGATTACCATTACCTTTTTCAGGTAAAATATCCAAGTATGAAGCAGAAGTGTCGGACTCTGTTGTATCTTTTATCTCAAGCTCACCAGGATATATCGTGTCGACGTAGGAATGAAAATTATCATTATTAATTGACAATACGTCGTCGATATATCTACAGTGCAGGGAACTAATTTTGTTACATAAACCAGCATCAGGATCAGCATAAGTAGGATCAGGATAGAACTAGCATCAGCATCAGCATTTAAAAAAACAGCATTACTTGGATCAGCATCAGCAAGCAAAGGATAGAACAAGCATTGACCAAAGTGAAAACAGATAAAGGAAAGTCATTTAATACAAATTACAAATAAAAATTACCCCAAAAATTATTTTTAATGGCTTAAAATAGCGATGTTGTTTTTGAATTATCCACTTCCAGCAGGATAATCCTACTTCCGGTAGCATTACTAGCATTGACCTAGTTTCAAACCAGCATCAGGATAAGGATCAAACCAGGATCAGGATAAGGATAACTAGCATCAAAATCAGCAAGCAAAGGAAGCATCAAAATCAGCAAGCATAGGAAGTACCAAAATCAGCATTGATGCTGTAACAAAATTATTTCCCTGCACTGTAAATGTCGAGTTGAAGGCCACAGCAAGTGTTTTCTTCTTTTCACGCATAAGATTTTGCATAAATTCTGCTTCATATGAATATAACAATAAGTCTGGTAATAACGGAGCGCAATTTGTACCCATTGGAATTCCAATAGATTGTTGGAAGACCTGGTCTCCAAAAACCACATAGATATTGTCTATCAGAAACTCAAGCATCTTCTTGATGTCAACTTTAGAGTACTTATGTGTGCAATCAGAATCTGTTTTAACAAAATAATTTTTCAAATGACCAATGACGAGGTAAGTAAAATTACGAGTTCCATTTTTGTTGAAGAAGCAGCTGTCAATGATATCAAAAAGCCTGGATTTTAATTTGTCGTGGGGAATTGTTGTGTATAAAGTTGAAAAGTCGTAAGTTTTTAAGCTGTTGATTTTTGTAAAGGCTTTTGATTTCAAATTGGCCAAAAGTTCTTTAGAATTTCTAAGTATCCACATCTGATTTACACCACTTCTTGAATATATAGTTGTACAGTACTCTTGAAGTTTTTCCTTCACTACTGTCAATATTTTAGTGAGAAGTAACGAAAGAGGCTTGGTTGAACATATACTGGAACCTGCAATGTATCTTTGTTTGTAAGGATTCTTATGAAGTTTCGAAATCCAATATATATAAGGTAGTTCAAATTCATTTTGGCTCTGTGGAATATTAAAAGTATTCAAAACTGACAGGTGATTTTGAAGAATTTCTTCCTTAGAAAGAGAAGTATGAGTATAAGTAGAATTACCACTTGTAGAATTAAATCCAAGTTCTTCTAGAATGCAATTTATATAATGAGCCTTACAAACGAAGGCAATGTTGTTACCTGTTTTGTTGGCAGGAACCAGTACGTACTGATCGTGTAATCTATCTAAGTCTTTTTTTCACATCTGGTTTATTGAACACAGAAGGATAGATGGTTTTCATTTTGCCCCTCATTCTTTTAATATGTGAGTTTAACATGGATCTGATACATTTAATCCATTCTGACAATGTGTCAATGTCTTCTTTTTTTATCTGGCCCATCGTCTGGCGTAATTTTCAACAGAATCCATAATATTTATGAAATTCCGACGCCAGTTAAAGGATTGGGGCTCCCTCTATTTAGGACCTTTTAAAATAAGTGAATAATATAAAATTTTTACGTCACCTTAATAATTCCAGCAGGATTATAGTTATAGGGCGAAGAAGAACATGAACACGAAGGGGGATTATTTTTTAAATAGTCGATATCCAGGCCATGTAAAGTGTTTTTGTAATTGAAAAGTTTGGAAGCAATGGTCGATGTATATTTGTAGGAAATACAAGGTGTAGTCTTTAACTTGAAATATGGCGGAATACAGGACTGGTCCCTTTTGTGATTAATATTAGTTATATTAACCGCGTCAATTCCTTTATTGGCATATTGAAGTTTAAGGAAAAGACGGATAATATAACTAGGTACATGTACATAGTTGTAATGAGCACGAATTCCTCTTCCAAAATTGTGAATTTCCTGGCCTCTGGGTCAGGGGTTCTGATGTTAGGGCGGGGTCTATTGATTTAGAGCGCCCTCTTCAAAAATTATGAATTTCGTGTCCCCGGGTTCAAGGGTTCAGGTGTTGGGCTCTATTGATTATATAGTGAAAATGCATTATTTTTTTTTAAAGTTTTTTCTCTGCTCCTGAATAGTAAATAAACTAAGTCTAGTTGTAAGGAATAAGAGTTCCTCTTCCAAAATTTATTATTTTCATGTTGCCTGGGTCAGGGTATGGGGTGTGTGGGTAGGGTGGGGGGTATGGGGAGGGGCTTTTTTATTATATTGTGAATTGCATTAATTTATTTTAAATTAATTGTGAAATTGCATTAAATCATCTTTTCTGCTCCTGGGCAATAAAAAAATTAACGAAGTATATCTTAATTATGAAAATGGCAACATTTTCAGAAATTATGAACAACACATTTACTCTACTCCTGGTTATATGCAGAATATGAAAAAAAGTATATAGTTTTGATGTGCAAGGGTGCTTTATCTAGCATTATGATTTTCATAGCCCCTGGTTCAGATGTTCAGGCGTAAGATTGAGCTGAAAAAAATGTTCAATGTGCCGAGCGCTTGACGAGGGAATAGTAGATATATTTTTTAATAAAGTTAGATCAGTCGCAGCCGTAATTCTAGCACGAGGCCTCCGTATCCCAGAAGGAGTGCAAAAAGACAGAGATTTGAGTCATGTGTGTCACACTTTTAAGTGAGTGGGCATACATCGAAACTTTAATGTATGTTCGCGCGTTACTGTATCGGCTTCTTTAAAAGAGAAAAACAAAATTAAAGCACAATTTAATAATTATTGTTTTATTGTATTATAAGTCAATCGTTAAAATACTACAGAAAATAAATCACTAATAACAAAGTTATGGAACAATTTTCAGGGATCTTAGGGGGAATCAGATAACCACAGTGGGAGACAAGGCCTTCGGCGGTTTGTCAAAATTAGAGACACTGTAAGTATATAAAGATATAGCAATAAGAGTCTCATTTAATTTTATCAAGTGCCATAAAAGGAATGGTGCATAAGAGATGGATAACCTCAATATTATAGAAAGAATGGCAGTTTCCATGTTTTGCTATGGAAAACCCGAAACTTGTGTCCGAAAAAAAGTAAAATAGGAGATCAAAACAGCACTATGTAATAATGATTCTGTGATAGTTATATTAAACTTTATTCATTGGTATAAGAGGAGTAGCGGATACCCAAAAGCATAACAGCTAGGCGGGCGGGCGGACGGACGGACGGACACCCCTATAACTATATGCCCCATCCTTTCAAGTGGTAGGTATAATAAATAAATGAAATAAAAAATAATGATAAAATACTTAAATAAAATAATAACAAATATATAAATAAATGAATGAATAAATGAAATAAAAAATAATGAAAATAAAAAAAATTATAATTAATAATTATGTAAATTTAAAAAATCGAAAAACAAAATAAAAATTGATATAAATTTAGAACAACAGAGAAATAAAAAATAAATTGATAGATAAAAAAACAATAAAGATAGATAAAAAAATTGGATATTAAGAAAATAAAGAGAAAACAAAGTTTTTTAACGCAATAATTTCATTGTTTGCTCAGATGTTTTTAGCAGGTTACAATGTGAATTTCAAATTACACATTTACAGTTTATGAAAGTGTTGTTACTTGTTATTACTTATATATGCAATGCCTCCTTATTAGAATTGTGGTAACCACAACACTAATGTCCATTGCCCCCGAAATGAGTAATTTACAAATTGGTTTTTTTTTTAAATCATCTATTAGTTCTATGTTTCTTGAAATAATTCAATATAACGAAAAGTTAAGTTTTGAAAAGCTATTAATGATTATGTATGTAAATCTCAAGTATTGACAAGTTAAATTGATCAGTGTTATACTGATATATACAATATTTAACAGTTTTCTGCGTGAGTTTTTAAATGTTGTTTAACAGAAAATCCCCGATAGCCACAAATAACGAACATTTTTAGATCTGAACCTTTCTTTTATTTGAAATAAAAAAGGTGAAGGTAGCGAACAAAGATAGATCTCAAAAAATCTATAAACAATTTGAATAATATAAAGAGGGCAAAAACACGACCCTTGGTAATTCCAAAGTGGGATCAGGTGCCTAGGAGAAGTAAGCATCCCCTGTTGACCTGACACACTCAATGTGAATCCTGTGTGTTGATCAGATAGAAGGGACATTTCGTAATCGAATTTAGTATAAACAAAGACATAACAATGGGTCTGAAAAACGTCAGCTGTAATATGACCCAATTATTGGTTATATTTGCTAACAAAGTCATTATAACAACAATGAAATTCACGAAATGCCGAGTTTTAACAAGGTTGTTGAAATTCCGTTAATATTATCTTGTCTAGGAAGCTTGACTCGGTATAAAAATCGATCGAATTGGTAATATGTTCTTGAGTATGAAATAAGTTGGGAGATGTACATGTAAACACCATATATAGGAGGTAATACTACATAAATAAGGAAAGATGACGATGGAAAAGCTGTTTCATCTCTATTGTCATATAATTAGGTTGTTACTTGCACTTATCGTCTGCAGTCATTACAACATCCAAATACGAAACATATGCCAGACGCTGTGGTGTCTTTTATTTCAAGTTCACTGGGATATTTTGTGTCGAAATCTGAACTGCTACTAAATGTTGTTAACTGAAAGTACGTCGTCAGTTTTCTGTAGGTGTACAGATATTTACTTTTTGTAAAAAAAAAAAAATGATGATATGGAGGGATTATTGTAATCATGAATTAGCGATACAGATGTTTCTACCGTGCATTGTATTCATTTATGAAAAATTAAGGGTATTCATGAATTAAAGTATCGTTATTTGTGACAAAGACGTTAAAACATGAAACTTACGTTTTTTGTGCATATACTGTACCCAAATGGCAGGTTTATGGTTACAGCACGAGTTGTTCTCATGTAGAAGTTTTTGAATTAATTCTACTTTATAGAAACTGGTCGGCTAATAAAAGAGCATAATCAATACCCATCGTTATACCAACATTTTGTTGGAAGATCTGTGACCGAAGACAACATAAATATTCTAAATAAGGAACTCCAGTATCGTTTTGATATCAAGTTTAGGAGTTGGACATATACTGTCCTATGAATCTAACAATATGTTTCTTCCACATAATTGCCTAAAATTGAGTTAAGAGTGATTTTCTTTCAAGATTTACAAAGGCCAAAAAGAACATATACTTCTCTTATAAATCATGGTATAATAAAAGTTTTATATGAAATTCGAAGTTAACTCACAGTAATCATGCCTTTAAATCAAAGTGAATGTTAACCTAAATTGTAAGTAGAGCTAACAGATGCTGAGCTTAAGTTCTTGTTATCTTAATATTGCATTTATAATTGGAGTGGTTAAGTTCTTCAACTGAAATGGCATTCGAACAATCAGTATTATATTCAACAACGAGCAAAATGCACAAGACATACTAGCTGAGATCCTTTATATACTGGTTCCTTCAACACAAAGTGCACCGTCACGGTAGTTCAGTTGGTAGAGCGCTCGCCCTGTGATTGGAAGGTCGTGTGTTCGAATTACGGCCGCAACTGGCTTAATGCAATAGAAAATAGGTTGTGATTGATCCTTAGCCAAGCGCGCTCGGCACTCTGAAATGAAAATTGCAGGTCCTCTGGATGAGACATTTAAACCAAGGACTTGTGTTACGGTAGGCGTTCGAACGATCAAGAACAGTGACAGCTCAATGGCCCTGAGTACCTAGTAAAGGTCTTAATCTAAAGCTGTTCAACTGTATATGTAAACATGCACTAAATCTCATACTTGTAAAATTGTCTGGATATTCTGTTTATTTCTTTGGATTTTGATGGCAATAAACCGAATGCTTATAGCAAAAATACTCGCTTAAATAATTTCAAAAATCTGTTTCAGATGGCTGAGCTCCAACAAGATAACTACAATTCAAAACAACACCTTTAATGGTTTGCAAAATTTAAAAATACTGTAAGTATTTTGCAGCTGCATCAGTAATCTAAGCATCAGATTAAAAAAAAAATATGAGGTGTGTATTAGGTTTCAGGAATTACCGAGATCAAAGACATATTACTTTCTTCACACTCCTTAGAGATCCGCCAATATTTGAGAACCCAAAGTAAGTGATGAACATAAATGACAAAGACTGTTAATGGAGTTCTGTTTGCTTGAATCATAACCAGAAAATAACGAGCTTATTGTTTGATGTGTGACTCTCATACATATACCAAACCGATTTTCTCCCTTTATATTTCTTTAAAACACTGGACAGCAAATTACGGTTTATATAAATTCCAAACATTTCATGAGTTATCATTAAATGGTTGGACTGTAACAGATGGAAATGACGTAAGCTGCATATTTCAAAACTTGCCAGTAATTGTTCTGCATTGTTGCCTTTTCCAATTTTGTGAATTTTATAGCCCCTGGGTCAGGGGTTTTGTGGTAGGGCGGGGCTCTATTCATTATATAGTAAACATGCATTAATTCTTTGAAAATTTTAACTCATTCTTGGTATTATATAAACAAACTTAGTGCATGGTTGTGATGCACAAGGATGCTTTTCTCCAAAATTGTAAATTTCATGGCCCTGGTGATTGGGGGCTCGATTTTATTATATAGTTAAAGGCATGATTTCTTTGAAATTATTTTTTCCTATTCCTGGTTATAAAGCAAAGAATCTTAGTGTATAGATATGACGAACAAGAGTGTTTCTTTCACATTGTGAGATTCTTTGGCCTTAGGTCAAATGGTCTCATCTGAGGGCGGGGCTCTATTTAATTTTGTTAAAAATATTGATAAGGGTTATGAAGTGAAAATGTTCTAATTCTTTGAAAGTCTTCAATTAAGTGCATAATTTTAATGATGAGGATACCTCTACCAAATTTGTGAATTTCATGACCCTGGGATATGGGTTTTTTGTGTAAGGATAGGGCTGTGTTGAATCTGTAGTGAAAATGCATTATTTCATTGAAAATCTTTTCTGCTCCTTGGCATATCACAGGAAAACAGAATCAAAGTTTTCATAAGCAAGGATATTTTCACCAGAATTTTTAACACCAGGACCATTTTGTCAAGCGTTCTAGTCCTAGCCAGAGCTCTATTTATTCACCTTTTGCCATGTACTTTTGATAATTGATCATTGTAAATAATGCAATTAAATGTTTTTAGAATAAAAGAATTATGCAAAAATATTTATTGTATAATACAAAAAGTTCTTTCATAGTTTTGATGATCAGATAGACTTGCAAATAATAAATAAATAAAAATGAGACAAAAATAACTTAAATGTTCTTCAAAGACCAAGAGAAGCCAATGTGAGAGGTCACAATACGGGGATTAAAAAAGTACAGAAGAACTTTCTTTATAGTCTGCATGGTGATAGTACTAAATGACAGATTAGAATTCAATGTTTTAGTTGTTAATAAATACTACAAAAACCATTTCATTGATCCTGGCTATCCCATTTGTCTTGCTTTTGGGCAACAAAACTTTTTCATTCTATCACTCTATGTTCTATTTTATGGATCCTTTAAATTGTTATATTATACTCAGATGACCATTTAGGCCCTTGGGCTTTTTGTTAGTTTTTTTAATGATATCTCTGGGATTAATCATTTCTCTTTTTATGGTATGTGAATAAAATAGTGTAGCAGTTAAGAAATATGCAGTCAAGGTCAGGTGCAAGAGATGTTCAGTCACACATCGTTATCTCGAATTCGATGGGACCATTAAGTCCGAGATATCCAAGGATTCAAGATATTCAGGGTGAATTACCTAAAATCCAAATTCTGACCTATACGCGGCACAATACTGTCATTGAGCAGTGAGGGATCTCGACGTTTGGCAAAATTGGCGATACTGTTAAGTATGAAATATATGGAGATAACGAACAGTATTCAAGATCAAAAGTCCATAAAACATTGTTGAGGCTGAAAAAAGGACGCGGGGCCTAATTTATATGGGAAAGGTTTACTTTGACGTCACACAAAAATATGACTTTTATATACTCATAATACCATGAAATGAAATAATTTGCAAATTGAAACTGTATTAGCATGACAAACAACAAAATAACTTATCAATGCATTAAAAAAGATTGCTAGTTAAATCCCATACAGCTGGTTATAAAGAAAGCACTTATCTCGATTCACTTGTCAATCATGACGTCATTTTGGTAAAAATGATGTATTTCATGTGCTGTGAAAGGCAGATTGAGGAATTTTTAACAATTAAAATGCGTTTTATTATAAAACTGAATATGTTTTACAGGTTTCAAATAGGCTATTAACACCAAGGTGTATCCTTTGTTTAGTGCGATTATTCATTAACTATCGAGAGAATGTATTTATATAATTTGTCGTGTTTTTATGTTCAGTTTAGGTATATTTTACATCGAGGTGCCTCATTAAATCGTTCTTTCGCAAGGGCATACACTAAATAAATCTTAATCATTTTTTGAATATAAATAAAGGATATGTTTCTGAACTTGAAAAGACTTCTTCGCCAAGCTACCTGCGTTAGAAGTGAAAGCTAAAAGATTTTTAGATGAGACCTTCGTTTCACGAGCTCGAGAGGCCTTTGTACGATAAGTAACCTTTACTGCTCACTGCTCAGTGGCCCTGAGTTGTCCAGTATAGTATTTTAAGCCCTTCATCCGTGCATGGACACCTCAACACGAGAGAAAAATACTTGAATGGGGTATAAAAAACGTACAATCAATCAAAAAAAAAAATTAATAATCGAGATCGTACGATTAACCAGGGTTCTCCAAAAGGGGTTTTACCATGGCGGCCCGCCATGGTTAAAATCAGCATCCGCCAAGATTAAATTTTATTGCATTTCAGTCCTGACACCTACTTTTTTTAATGACTTGAGTAGTTAATTGTGTTATTACTACGACTGCCGTGCACCTGGCATGCCTCGAAGGAAAGCGGACTGTCCTAAACAAACATGTCGTTAATCAGCGACTATGCTGTGAAGCGTGTCAATCAATGGACAGTCAATCAGAAGATCATTATTTTGAGAGATAATTTTCCTGTACACATGCAAATAATTTCAGGGAACTTCAACATGTTCACTAGATTACAACACCGGTATTACGAGTACAATGATGGTCATGCTTGCGATTCAAGTTTCTGTGTCAGAAAAAAATACTCTGTAAAACTCTTATTTCTCTGTATTTAATCAATTTCCCATGCACTGTTTTTTGAGCTTTAACTTTATTATCTATTTGATAAAATGTGCATAGAGCCTGCGTCTCAATCGCCGTCTTAGTTTTAGAGTTACTTTCCGTTGTTAGGAAACGTCGCGTGGCGCTATTTTTAGCTCTGGGCACGTGGAGCAGTAAACAAAACTGGGTGTTAAATGCAATATCGAGAAAAGTAAAAACAATTAGAAAAAAGGACACTGGTCTAAATGTGCCTCTGTGTGTTAACTTAAAAAAAACACTACCCATTCATCAGTTTTAGTCATATTGAAACAAAACATTTCAAACAACAGGCTACAATATTTATAATTATTAATCTATAAATGCCATGGTTACCTGTATCAACATTTTTTCTTTAAATTCCTTCAGAAGGTTACTAAAGTTTTTGGCAAATTTGGTACATCTGTGAAATGAGATACAGGATAAATCCTTCTCAATTTATATGTACATGTATTTTTTTTTAACTTTAAAAAGTTATAATTTCATTTTTTGTTTTGCAATGGGTAAGTTTTAAAATTGTAAAACCAATCATTGATTAAAGAAGATTAGGAAGTCTAAGATGCATTAGTGTTTTCGGCCACATTTCGCCTTCGCGCAGCTTCCTCCATAGTTAAATTTTCAAATGTGGAGAACCCTGGATTAACATTATAAGTTTAAAAGGTCCGGATTTTTTCCGGATCATTTTTGAATGTATATGTAACACTGATTGCAATAAATAAACTAGAGGTACTGTGAGCACTGAGCTCATTAAATGATAACCTCGCCTGCAGTATGATTATAATGGTCCATGTTTTGCTCTCAAAGACCCGATATAAATATCAATTCAAAAAGTAAAATGGCACTATAAAGGATATGAGAAAGTATCATTTAATTGTATTCAATGGTACAGGAGATTTTGCGTATAAGAGATGGATACCCTTCAATATTATAGAAAGAGGAGCAGTGTTGATGTTTTGCCATGGGAAAACTGAAACATATGTCAGATCAAAACGTAAAATAAGAGGTGCACAATGGCACTATATAACAAAGATTCTGTGAAAGTCTCATTAAATTTCATTTCTTGGTATGATAGGAATAGCGGATAAAAGCTGGGTATCCCAAAGTGTAACAGACGGACGGATGTACAGACAGACGGACGGACACCCAATTATTATATACCCCTTTGTTTTTCAAGCAGTAGATATAATAAATAAATAAATGAAAGAAAAATAAAGATACAATAAATAATAATAATAATATGAATTAATGAAGGAAGGTCTTTTTATAAAGGAATACACCTGTGAAATATGAAAACCCTATTTCTAACTGTTCAGCAGTTATGACCAAGGTTAAAGTTTCTAAAAAGTGGGTGAACTCTTAGGTCAGGGTCGAAAGGTAAGAAATATCTATACCATTTGAAAGGTCTTGTCATCATGAATTCTTATGTAAAGTATGAAAGCCCTAGTTCCAACTTTTCAAAAGCTATGGCCAAGGTTTAAGTGTGGTATTTTTTGTAGAAGTTGGTCAAACTCCAAGGTCAAGGTTCAAAGGTCAAATTTGGTGGTACCCAAAGATAGATCTTGTCACAAGGAATACATCCGTATTATATGAAAGCCATAGCCATACCTACTCAATTTTGGGCTAGGTTAATGTTGACAGCGGACAGAAAGAGACAAACAGACAGATAGACAGAACAGAAACAATATACCCCCGAAATCTTTCTATCCGTGGGCATAATTAATATAAATTAAGAACAACAGATAAATAAAAAAAAATGAATTGA